CACACACACACACACACACACCGTCGGCCGACAATAATGGTTTTTCTCGACTTGAAAGACACTTTCGATTCAGTTTACAGAACAGCAGTATTCAGTGTCGTTCACTGAAAAGGCATGAGACCGAATTTCGTGAATCTACCGGGATCACCGCGATGTCGTACTTCTGGCCGCCTAAGAATTTACGAACTGACCGGTCCATTCGAAACATGGATGTCCAACTAGGGTGTCCCATGTCGCTATCCCGGCTGAATTTTGTTATGGACGAGATAATGTAGAATAACTTGCGAGATCTCTAGGATGTGGGTGTCGAATCAGCATATGCTGAAAAGCTGTGACCTAAATTACGCGAACGACCTCGCCTGCTTGTTCGAATGTACGGAACATGCGCAACGCGCACTAGATAGACTCGCAAGAGCTGTAGCTCCATTAGGCATGCACTTTGCACCTTCAGTGTAAAGCCATGTTTTGAGATAGAACGTCAACGGTTCCCAGTTTATTTCTCGATGGGGATGTATCAACAGCAATCAACCACTTTACTTACCTCGGCATCAGCGTAACGACGGGTGGGAGCACGGAAGTAGAGATGAGCACGCGTATATTCAGGGCTCGAGTGGCGTACGCTGGACTGAAGCACTTGTGGCACTGATCTGAGATCTCACTGAAGTTGAAAGGTCGTGTGTGCTGTGTCGCGGTGCATCCAGTTTTGTTTTATGGTTGCGACAAATGGAGTTTTCTTGCGGGATAAAGTCGCCGCATTGAGATTCTCAACCGCCGATTCTTGCGTAGTATCGCTAAGATCGGGTGGAATAACCAGGTGAGCAGTCCTGAGGTCAGATATAGAGTACTGGGTACCAGTTCGAAGAATATGCTATAACAGTGCATCAAGATCGGCGGACTTCGCTGACTGGGGCACGTGTTACATATCGCAAACACATCTATCCTGCCGTGCCCTGTTTTCCGTTCCTCCTGTGAAGCGGAGGAAACCATGTGGAGGTCAACAGATGACGTGACACCGGAGAATAAGAAAATTTACACCGAACTCAGGAAAAGTAGATGCCTCATGTCTTCGTAGTAGAAGTCCAAAAGACCCCTTGATCAATTGGCTCGAAACACTAATAGCGAACCGTACACAGTGATCGTGTTGTCACTTTCTTTCGAATCAATGTGCGTTTGTACAGTTAGACTATATATTTCCTGTATTGCTTACTAGAGCGTTTTTTTCTTTTTCTAATCATGTCGGTCCACTCCCTGTCCATTTTGTGTATTTATTCTTTCTATTACTATGTGCAACACGACGAGGAAGGTAGTGGTCAGTGGGGCTCGCCCTGCCGTTTAACACTGTAGGATGGTGATGATGATGATGATGATGATGATGATGATGATGGAAAGATTGACGACGACAGCCACTTGCCAATCTGGACCTGTGATAGGTTATTCACTAGGGCGAGCGAAGAAAAAACTCCACCAAAATCGCCATGAGCACCGGAAAATCCTACCTCTGGCGTTGAACCCTCAAAGATTTTGGGTTGGATAGCCAGCTATGGCGGCATTCCCAGTGTCTCATTTCGAGCGCCAACCGCATCACTTCAGTTATTCTGTATGATACTCTCATTCTCTCGGCAGACCGTTTAATCGAAGCCATTCTTGTCGGCGGTGTTCTAGGAGGGGGTCTCCGTAGTGATCATTCGATCACTCCCCGTCTGTCAATTGTTTGACTGCACGTTCCCCGCACGCGGTAACCCCCAGCACTACTTCCGGCACACTTCCTCTGCATCATCCGGCGTATGGTGTGTATTAAGACCTTTGTGAGGATACACAAGGCTGGCACTCCGTGGTCTTTCTTCGTCGATAACCTCAACGAACGCCATCGTAGCTGAGGAAGCGTGCCCTCCTATACTAATTCCAAAGCACGAACTCGAGGTTTTTCTTATTCGACTGCAGTTATCCTGAAAAATCAGGAATGTCTCGAAACAAATCCCCTGATAGCATAAGCGGCATAAAACTTCGCGAAATACTCGCGAATTTACAAACTTTATGCCACAATTACCTGGTCTGCGGTGTGATTGTTTGCTGTGTTGCGCAAAAGTTCGGGCTAGTCTGTGGCTTATCTGCCATCTACTAACAGTTGCCAAATGCCTCAGGAACGCGTGTGCACTTCGGCGGTCTCAATTTTTGGCAGGCCAACGACCAACGATTTAATGGTTTGCTCTCACTACGCAATGTCACCGCAAACACAGGTAGCAATGGTGGCCGACGGATTTTGCCGGGATGTGAGCATCATGTGCTTTTATAGTAGTATAGCAATAGACAGCGGAATCGTTGACGAAAACTGTCGGAATTGATTTCCCTTTTGTATTAATAGATACAGTTACCTGCGGTTAAAGAACAGAGTCAAACTGATGCGAAGGAAACTGACTACCGAAGTAATGTGCAATGCTTGGTTGGCGTTTTACTTAAATGTATTGGTTCAAGTCACCGAGATGTCCTGAAAACATCAGTATATATCGCTCCATTTTATTCCCTCGAAATGGGTGAAATAAGGACAATTATTCGGAAAATCATAAATTAGGAAATAGAAATGAGCATCGTAATACACTTCTTCGGTTGTTGAAAGAATTCGACGAAGCATATCACGCATTTCAAACGACTCACAAAAACCGGCCAGAAACCGCTTCGAAACCTATAGGTGTTCGGCCGGTTTTCGATTGGCTATTTTACTATTACGCCGATCGGTTTTCGAGCGGTTTCTGAGTGGTTTGCGACCGACTTCCTGGACGGTTTCAGGCCGGTCTCTTCGTTTGAAGCACGTCATATACTTCGTTGATTTATTTCACCAACCCAAATTACGTACTACGATGCTCTTTCCTCTCTACTAACTTATGATTTTCCGAATAATCGTCATTATTCCACCCATTTTGAGGAAATAAAGTGGGTCGATCTATACTGAGGTTTTCGGGACATTTTGATGAATAACACCAATACAATTAGGTAAAACGGCAACCGAGTATTGCACATTACTTCGGTAGTCAATTTCCTTCGTATCGATCCGTTGTTCATCCGTGTAAAACGGCTAGTGAACAGACCGACCGAAAACCAATGGGTGTAACAGTAAAAACCGATCGAAAACCGAGCGGTTTCGGAGCGGTTTTGAACCGATTTCGCTACAGGAGTAAGTGGAAATCCCGCTGACGCCGAAAATCCTCAGTTACGCCGGAGGAGAAACTTTTATTTAAGCTCCTGATGTTTGAAATTGAAAACAGCCAAGTTCCATTGAAACCCCATAATCTTATTCACGAAACCAACTCCAGAAAGCAAATCGAAACCCCCAAGTAGATGAAACACGACGACAACCAATACGGCAGCGCAATCAGTGTACAGCCCCAAGGTCAGGCCATTCAGTTCAGTTCAGCTCAGTTAAGTTTGCACAAGACAGATAGATGCTACGACCAATCCGGCGTCCAGAATTCCGTCGGCGGTATGCACATTTGGCGGACAACCTCCAGTGCGCAGCTTATTCCGTCGAATCCTCACCAAAAATGAGAGGGAAACGAAAATGTCATTGCACATCAACTACGAGAGACAACATGCATTGTGAGCTGTAACCGAATAATTATGCAACAAGCTGAAACGTCCGGTAATGAAACACACCACATGAGTCCTAGTTTCCATGAACGTCCTCCTAGAGAAACGATTTAGCTCATTATCAGAAATGGCTTCTTTCCACTTACCTTCTAGAGCCCCTTTAATACCTGGGAATTCTCCAGTCATCTTACTCCTTCCGACGGTCTGTTCAGGTAGTTTACCACCCCACTGCTAAAGAAGTAAGGTCTAGCTATCAGCCCGGATCGGACTTTCCCCTACTTTGTCCCGCTTCCGTTTGTTTGGGAGCCGGTCGCCATAATGAATAGACTCTCAAGTCTAAGCCCAGGAAAGCCTTCTATGAACTTAAATGTTTCAACGAGATTCCGTCGTAGTCTCCTTCCTCCTATAGAGAAAAGCATGAGATTCCGGAGTCCTTGCTCGTGCTTATGCCTCTCTGGCTCTGAGCTACGCGCTTTGCAAGACGTTGTACTTTCTCCAAAAATGAGGCGTCCTTTCTGCACAGATGTGACCATGTCTGAACACAGTTTTCTAAAAGAAGTCTAACTATAGACACGTACAATGTCATGAAAACCCCTGGTTTTGGGCGTGACAATGCTGATGTCAACCTGGAGAGTCCACCTCGAGTCTTTTATGCAGCCGCTGAACATAGATCCGCCCACTTAAGATCAAAAGTCACCAAAATCCCAGGGTCCCTAACCTTGTTTACTGCCTCTACTATAAGTGGGTCTTGGTGGTGTTCAGCTACCAGGCCTATAGCTGTCCATGTTAAGAAGTGGCTTTTCTTAGCACTGAGATGTAGGTCCCATTTGTTTGCCCGATTAAGAACGGTAAATATGTCTCTGCTCAGCTCCTATCTCCCCTGAGCTCTCACTAATTTCACATCATCTGAAAAAAGAGGCCTGGTGATTGCATGACTGAGGCTAAATAATTTATAAACAGAAGGAACTGTGGTGAGCCTAGTGGGGACCCCTGCAGTGCACCACTGGTGGCGCTCCCTGATTTCGAGTTCTTGTCACCCATTCTAAGTTGAAGCATTCTACCGGCAGGGAGTCCGTTAGCCATTCTTGAGTCTGTCTATTTATACCAGACTACCTCAACCTGATTAGTAGAAGCCGATGTGTCATCGATTCAAATGCTTTACCGGAGTCGAGACAACATACTTCAACCTGTTTTCCATCATCCACTCTTTGGGTGAATTCGTCTAGGAAGCTCAGTAGGTTGGGCAAGCGCGACCTATCTATTAGGAATCCATACTGAGGTGGGCAAAACGTAGAATTCCCTAGCAGGTGCTCGTAGAGGTGTTCCCCGAAGATTCTTTCTACCAGCTTGCATAGAACACTGGCTAGGCCAAACGGCCTATAGTTACGCACAAACGGCCAAGGCCCACTTTTACATACTTCCATGACTTTCAAGGTTTTCCAGTCCTGAACCCGCTCACCCTGGTCCAAAGTGGGCCCGTACAGCCCACATACCGGTGGATCTATGATGTCCCCCGAGGGCTTGGTGGTAGCTGGAAGAATGCCACCTGGGCCGGCCGAGTTATGGATATGTGGTTGCCGTAGATACCCCTGAATCTCGCCGGAAGGTTCGGTTTGTAGAATTCTGGCGGAGGTTGCACCAGCGCCAAGTCGACTAGTGCACACTGCCAAAGTATGCACCCAGGGCATCCGCCTTGCTGTGACCATCAGTAGTGATACCGTGATCTCCAATGGAGAAAAGAGGTATCCCATCCTTTACTGAGCCTTTTTGCTGTACTTGTCTATGGAATTTCTTTGGCATTTTCTTCCCGCATTTGGCTAATTTAAGATCAAAGTCCAGCTTAGCAGTTCGCAGGAGGCCCACCTTCTCATTTCGAAACTTGGCAAAGCGAACCCAAGCTAGCTGACCGCCAGAGGCCCTGTAAAGGTTCCAGCCTTGTTTACTACTTTTGATCGCTTTAGCCACTGCAGCTTTTCACCTTACTGGTTTGCTTACCCCACCCCTTCGTTTCAAGGGTGCGAACCCTTCCTGGAAGTTATTTGGTAATCCGCTTATTGCATTCTAGCTTTCCTCCACAGTAGCACCCCCTACCATGTCTCACCTGGGCCCCTTCGCTCTGTTGCGAAGCTTATCTACGTCCCTATTACTAAAATTCCTAATCAGTCTTGAGGCTGCCCTAGGAAGCCTCGTGCGCGGAGTAATCTTGACGCAGACATGATCACTTTTGCCCAACGGTGCACAGCACCGCAGTTCTGACATATCGTTTGCGAGTTGAAACTAGAATCGCGCACATCCAGCCTAATATCTGGTATATTCCTTAACGTGCTGGGGCGGCACATTGGAGCACAGCCATTCCAAGTAGCTCCTCTCCTGCCTCTGTCCCGGGCGCAGCTTCGGAGGTGGCAGCAGGTTTTTGCAACTATGTTTTTTGCTGGGGAACGTGAAGACCGTTGGATATCTGGGACGTCTGACGCCTCCCGGTCAATTTCTACTGGAGTAATCACTACCCCCAAATCCGTAAGGGTTGCTTCATCCCCCGACTGGTTACTCCACTTCCGATTCTCATCTTCCATGACGTCCTCAGTGACCACTATTCCAGACGACTTCGGTGGCTTGCTTATCACCATCGATTTGATAACTCGAAAGCCGGGCTCAGCCTTATGTTGTCTCAGAGTGCTTTTGGCTAGTAAAGCTTCAGAGTTCTCTGTGATTCTACCCTGCATCCCTCTGTGTATATACGGTACGATAGAGTATAGGCCCCTAAATTTGAGGGCAACTACTGCAGCCCCAGGCAGTAGCATATCCCTGGTACCGTCACCATTAAAGTCGACAAAAATTGGTTGTACGGTATTGGTGCCCATTCTAGCAAACGGAAACTTCCACGTCCTCAGTCTGTGCACTCTTTCCAAGGAAACGGGATAGGGAACACGTGCGCTACGCAACATATCTACCGTCTTTATCTCTTCGTGCCCTAGATTCCAGTATGAGCGGCTCCCTCTGATTGAGACCCAGCAGTCTTCCTCACATAGTCCGTCCCATCGACTGGATCCGCCTTCGGAGATCCATCACCTAAGCTTCCAGAGTCCTGTAAACAGGTTTTTGCCTCTTCCGGATGTTATCCACCTTCTTTAGTGTTTGAGCTTTAGCCCTAACTAGCCTCTTCTTATTCGGCTTCTGGGTCACCCACTTGTCCACAGAAGTTCGCCGTATAACACACTTTTGATCAATGCGTAGCCAAATTCACAACGGATCCCGAAAGTGAAAGGCGACTATCCGTGATACTCTACGATATTAGATTATTGAATGAACAATGACACCAAAAAGATACAAACCTCAATAATGAGATCACAGGGACTCAACAAACGAGAAACCGAATTGCGGCGTACGAGCAAGGAGCACGTGGGTCACGCAGGTCCACAGCAAGGATATGACAAAGTAGCGCTGTGGGCGCGAAGAGCAACAACTGGTCCATGAACACAAACAGTTCGTAAAGACACTCAAATAGTGTAAGCAGGTGAGTGATGTTAGAAGCACTGAATCGCAAAGGTTTTGGGGGGATTTTCCACGACTGGTCGTTACACCACCCACCAAAATCCTCCCTAATCCTTAGCAGAGTCAAAGTTTTGGTGTAAAGGTACCGATTCTTCCTACCTACCTAGGCCCTGCTTTCAGTGCGAGCGCCCAATGCTTGTCTTCGACGTTCTACTCATGGTCGCACCTAATCCGTTGGCCACACAGACGCGAGGCTGTTCTACATCTTCCACGAGAACAACTGACCGATAACGGTCATGAAGGGGAAACATAGATGCTGTCCTTGAAAGGGCCGTCCTGCCCTGGCTGTTTGTGCTAGCGTGAGTGTGTGTGTGTGTATGATGTGATCGACGCTACTTCCACATTTGCGAAAGACATTTCAGTAACGTCAACAAAAGCAAGTTGCGAACACCCTCACATGTTTGATAGGGTTGCGGGACATAGCGTGCATCGGGTATGTGCGTTTGTGTCTGGATGTACAAAGGAACCACATGTACCACCACATATCAAAAAGGGACTTTCTGTAAAGTCAACAAAAGACTGTGAGCACTGTAACGTGTTTGACGGAGACCAGGTGGTATAGCGTGCAATGTAGGTGAGTGTGCGTCGGGGTGTATGATGGTTCGATACGTCAGTATGTCGTGATTGCTTTCATATATGGGGTTTCTTTACCCACCTTGAAGACGAATGCGAAATAGTCTACTGGACCTCAGCGTTATCAGCTTCTCCGCCTTCACTCTCGAGTAGGCTAATACTGCGCTCCGTTTGCTGTCTTCATCTTCACCGTTTTTATCATTCCGTCAGTGTTTTCGATGGTTTCCATAACCACTCCCAAGGACCAGGTGCTGAAATAAGCGCGTTCGTCCGCAATCATCACCACATCTCCAACCTTGAATGGTCTTGTTTTGACCAGCCACTTCTGTCGAGTCTGCAGAGCCGGCTGGTGCTCCCGCAGCCAGCGCCTCCAGAAAACCTTGGCAAGATACTTTGCCTGCTTCCATCCATGGAGGTAGCTCCCACGAAGGTTTACCCGCCCTTGGAGACCCTCGTTCGACCTTAACGTCAATAAGCCGTTCGGGGTGAGCGCCAGGTGGGTGGGGTCGCCGTTCATTACTGGAACCAGGGGGCGGTTGTTCAGGAATCTCTCTACCTCAGTCACGACGGTGTTCAGCGTCCCGTCGTCGGGCGGCTGTTGCTCCATGGTCGACAGCAATATCCGCCTGGCAGATCCGATCATGCGTTCCCATAGGCCGCCGCGGTGGCTGGCCTGCGGGGGCTTGAAATGCCATCGTATGCCGTAGGCCACGGTTCGATCCTGCAGTTCGTCCCTGTTTGCATTCTTGTGCCAACGCTGCAATCCCCGGTGAGCGCCTACAAAGTTCGACCCATTATCTGAGTATATATCGGCCGGTACTCCTCTTCGGTTGATACATCTCTGCAAGGCCCGTAGGAAAGAATCGGTGGTCATCGAATGTGCCACTTCTAGGTGTACCGCACGTGTCTTCATGCACGTCATGATATACCCATGTGTTTTTTCCAATCTCTTCCCGCACTTGATGCACAAGGGCCCGAAATAGTCCAACCCGGTGTAGCTTAACGGCCACTGGTAGAGGGGCCATGTGTTTTTTGCCCGCCGTGGTATTGCGTCTCCTACGTTGCACGCAACGTCGGATTACGCGTTTTACAGTCGCTCTTCCTCTCAGCAACCAAAGACGCTTTCGGATGACGCTCGTCACGTGACTTTCCCTGGCATGTCCCTCCACGGCGTGGGTGTGTTGGATCATTAGCTCTACTACAGGCTGTCGCTCCGGCAGCAGCTCAGGTGGGCGTTGGTCAGCCTACCATCCACTCGCAGCAGTCCATCAATGAGTTTGGTGTTTGAATGCTTTAATTCGCCTCTAGGAGGTGATATTTTTTGTTGATTGGTCCCACCTCTTCCGCCCTCTCGAGCTCTCGGGTGAAAGCCTTGAGTTGTATCACTCTGAAAATATCGTATTCTGCAACTTGTTGCTCATCGGGACACATCGGGCCAACCCGTATCCGGCTTGAAGGGCGTAGCCTTTTCATGACTAGTAAATTTCTCTTGAACCTGGTTAACCAAACTGACGAACGAAGTGTCTTCGTCAAGGAAGAAAACTTGACCAATAGCGATAGAATGAATGTCGCTTCGACGACGTTGGCCGCTATCACTACGCCTTTGATCTCCAGTTCTACTTCCGTAGGGGGCTTCAATTCGTACACGGGTCAGTCCTGTTCAGGCACTTGCAGGAAGTTTGTACCTCTCGTCCACGTGTCCAGTTGCCTGAAGTTGGCCGCATCTCGAGAGCGCAGATCGGCTGGATTATCGCCAGACCTGACATGCTCCATTGGTTCGTGGCTGGTTCATCGTGGATAATCGTAAGTCGGTTAGCAACGAAAGTACTAAACCGACTCCGGAAGTTGCTGATATAGTAGAGTACTATCATTGAGTCCGTCCAAAAGCTAGCCGACCAAATGTAGAAGGCAAAACATCTCTTCACCGCTTGTACCGCCCTGACTGCTAACACGGCTGCGCTGAGTTTAAGGCGTGGGATCGAGACCGACTTCAGTGGAGCGACGTAGGCTTTAGCGGACAGGATCCTCGTAGTATATTATTCATCTCCTGTGCACCATCGTTCGCAAACCACAGCCCCATAACCGACTTCGGATGCATCGGAAAAGTCATGTGGTTCTCCCGTCCGCGTTGTATGGCCAGGAGTCAAATATCGTGGGATCCTTGTCCCCTAATTTCTTCAAGTTGTTTAAAAATTCTTCCCAGTCCAGCCGGCTCTCCCGGTCCAGTGACTGATCCCAATCAACCTTCTTACGGCACAGCCGCTGCAGCAAGATCTTTCAAGGCATCAGCCAGGGAGAGGCGAAACCGAGCTGGTCGAACAGACTAGAGACAGCGGCTAGTATGCCTCGACGGGTTACAGAAAACTCGGGAACGTTAAGCTCAGAAACAAAGTTGTCCGTTTCCGCGTCCCATTGTATTCCTAAAGTGCGTTCGGTAGGGAGTGGAGAGCCGTCCAAAACTTTAACCCTTTCGGCCTTTTCGTGGTACGGAATGACCTCAAGCACTTCTAGGGAGCGCGGCATCCATTTTGTTAGATGGAAGCGGCCCTCTTCTAACAACCTT